ACCGAACCCGCTCCACCGGGAGGTCCAGAGGGGAAGAGCTATGGTCCGTCCAGCCTGCGTATAACCCTTCTGGACTCCGTTCACACCTCTCCGGTATCGGGGCACCCAGGCAGCCGCCGAACCCTCTCGCTCCTCCAGAGCCGCTACTGGTGGCCCCACATGGCCCGAGATGTCGCCCGGTATATCAGGGGATGTTCGGTCTGTGCCATCTCCACCACGCCATGTCGTCCGCCCGAAGGGAAGCTGGTCCCGCTACCCATCCCTCGCCGGCCCTGGTCCCACCTGGGGGTGGACTTTGCTACGGACTTACCTCCCTCAAACAGAGTCTCTAAATCCTGCAAACTCATTCCCCTGCGGGGACTACCTACCGCCCTGGAAACCGCCGAAGCCCTCTTCCAGCACGTGTTCAGGAACTTCGGTCTCCCAGAAGACATTGTTTCAGACCGAGGACCTCAGTTCATCTCCAGGGTCTGGCGAGGGTTCTTCCGCCTCCTGGGAGCATCCGTCAGCTTGTCCTCGGGATACCACCCGCAGACCAACGGCCAGACCGAACGGAAGATCCAAGAGATCGGACGGTATCTCCGGGCCTACTGTCATGACCATCAGGACAGCTGGAGCCAGTACCTACCCTGGGCCGAGTAAGCCCAGAATTCCTTGCACCAGGAAACCACCGGACTCACCCCATTCCAATGTGGGCTCAGTTATCAGCCGCCCCTGTTTCCTTGGACCGAGGATCACTCAGAAGTCCCAGCGGTAGATCACTGATTCCGTGAGAGCGAGAGGGTATGGGACTCAGCACATATCCATCTCCAGCGGGCCGTCCGGAGGCACCAGGCCAACGCAGACACTCGTCGGTCCGACAATCCCCGCTATGAGCCAGGGGACCAAGTCTGGTTTTCCACCCAGGACATCCGCCTCCGGCAGTCCAGCAAGAAGCTGAGTCCCCGGTACATAGGTCCTTTCCCCATAGCAAGGTGCATTAATGAAGTCACGTACCGGTTACACCTGCCTACCCATTATCGGATCTCCCCCACCTTTCATGTGTCCTTGCTAAAACCCTTCACTAATCCTCTTCCCCCTCCCTCCACAGAACACGAGCTACCCCCCCGAGGTCGTCCCCGATGAGACCATCTACTGAGTCAAGGAGATCCTCGAATCCCGGCGGCGAGGCGGCCGGCTTCAATACCTCATAGACTGGGAGGGGTACAGTCCTGAGGAGAGGTCATCGGCAGACAGAGAGGACATACTGGACCCATCTCTCCTCAACGACTTCCACCAGGCTCATCCTGACCGTCCCGCTCCCAGGGGCCGCGGTCATCCTCGCCGTCAATCTGTGGGGGGGGGGGGGGGGGGGGGTCACTGGAA